AAAAATAGTCGCTCCTAGGACACCTTATATTCTCTGATTGAAAACACTGGAACACAGGAAACCGATTGAAATCCGTACAGTGTATGATCATCCCGATACGATCCGCGCATGCTGTATAACCGCAGACAGCTTTCCTCGCGCGCAGAGAGAACAACGCGTACGTACGCGTCGGTGAACGTGTCCCCCTATAAATCCTGCCCATCCCCCGTGTCTGGCTCGGTGTAGAATCTGTATAAACGGTGGACTTGTATTGGCACTTAGCAACGAAGGCCGCGAGATCGCAGCCTTCGAGGAAGAGACGCTGGCGCTGCGACGAGAGCTGCAGGAGGCGCGGGCGTCGAAGACCCTGGCCGAGACCCACGTGGCAAAGTGCGTAAACGCAAGATCCGCCACGCCTGTATCGTTCGAAACGCCGTACGAAACCAGCACGCCCGTGCGTACCGCTCTCTCAGACACCTGTAGCCTGATCCCGTCGGTAGTCCCGACCTCAGTCCCGACCTTGGTCCCGTTCCTGCGCAACCGACCGAACGGCGAGGAGCTGGCGCACCATCAATTCGTCAACGAAAAGTCAAGCCCGTATCGTAGCCCGATGTTGGACACCTGGCCGGAGGTCGAAGAGACCACCCGGACGCCGGTGACCAGCAGCCAGCCGGCATTGGCCAGCAGCAACGGGGACCGCGAGGACGGCACCTTGGAGGAGACATCGAGCCTGACGTCCACGGACAATCCGTCGGATGTTAGGAAAGAGGACTCGGGACACGAGACCGAGTCTATCGAAGCGTCTAGAAACCTCGAGGACAAAGAGGCCGAGAAGACGAACGAGGACACGGTTGCGTTCGCTAAGAACGACGGGGACAAGGTCGACTCCGTACTAGTCTGCACGGAGGTTGACGAAGGAATCGCGTCCAGCCTGACGGAGAACAAGACTAAGAGTTCGAGGACAGAGGCGAGCAAGGAGGACGGGATTCAACGCGGTCAGCGGGGAAGCTCGAAGAAGTCGAGGAAGAAGAAGGGTATGAGTAAGAGGTCCTTCAGCGAGGCGGATAGAACGGCCGAGGGTGCGTCCTGCACCGCGAAAGACCGGAGAACGGTGAGCGAGGACGAGCATCGTCTCGATGACGGTGGCGACGATGCGAGCCGAGCCATCACCGAGATCCCGGAAGTGACCGTAGTCGGTGGTGGCTCCTTCGTGCCGAAAGATCTCTGCTCGACGAGAATCCTGACCTCCAGAGTCCTGACAGCACCTTCACGCGCTACCTACACCACCGCCTACATTTAGGCTATACGTACGCGCCGGTCCCCGAGCGAAAAAACCACCCTGCGCACCACCACTTCGTCGCCGCGTCGCAAATGTCGGGGGCTTCAAGGGCTTGCTAGAGGCTACTACTATGTACATGTCGTTATAGCACGTAGGTCTATCGTTCTGGTTCAATTCCTCGTGTACGCTTCCCGCGTCCCGTTCTTCGACGTCCCGGCACGCTTGGTCCTTGGCTTGGTTCACCTTCGCTCTCTAGAAAATAAATTCGATTGTTCAGGATCGTTCAGTGTCCTGTGCCGGAGTTACTTCCGACTCCGCGGGAGTTAATACAACGCTACAGTGGTCTGGGAAACAATAATTTCTGGCGAAAATTCGATTTTTCAACTTTCCCAGTTGATCTTGACAATTTTTGTTTCAGATTTCAGCGTTCTAAAGGCAAAAATATGAGATTAGTTTTTTCAAGCTGACTGTTTTAATTACTCGTTAGGGAATATTGAAAATCAAGTTCTTGCTATTCTTTTATGCATGTAAGCGATTTATGTTTCAACTGTTTTGTACGTGTCGAAAGCATCTTTTTAGCCCACGTGGGAAGAATAATAGAAATATGAGATTAGTTTTTTCAAGCTGACTGTTTTAATTACTCGTTAGGGAATATTGAAAATCAAGTTCTTGCTATTCTTTTATGCATGTAAGCGATTTATGTTTCAACTGTTTTGTACGTGTCGAAAGCATTTTTTTAGCCCACGTGGGAAGAATAATAGAAATATGAGATTAGTTTTTTCAAGCTGACTGTTTTAATTACTCGTTAGGGAATATTGAAAATCAAGTTCTTGCTATTCTTTTATGCATGTAAGCGATTTATGTTTCAACTGTTTTGTACGTGTCGAAAGCATCTTTTTAGCCCACGTGGGAAGAATAATAGAAATATGAGATTAGTTTTTTCAAGCTGACTGTTTTAATTACTCGTTAGGGAATATTGAAAATCAAGTTCTTGCTATTCTTTTATGCATGTAAGCGATTTATGTTTCAACTGTTTTGTACGTGTCGAAAGCATCTTTTTAGCCCACGTGGGAAGAATAATAGAAATATGAGATTAGTTTTTTCAAGCTGACTGTTTTAATTACTCGTTAGGGAATATTGAAAATCAAGTTCTTGCTATTCTTTTATGCATGTAAGCGATTTATGTTTCAACTGTTTTGTACGTGTCGAAAGCATCTTTTTAGCCCACGTGGGAAGAATAATAGAAATATGAGATTAGTTTTTTCAAGCTGACTGTTTTAATTACTCGTTAGGGAATATTGAAAATCAAGTTCTTGCTATTCTTTTATGCATGTAAGCGATTTATGTTTCAACTGTTTTGTACGTGTCGAAAGCATCTTTTTAGCCCACGTGGGAAGAATAATAGAAATATGAGATTAGTTTTTTCAAGCTGACTGTTTTAATTACTCGTTAGGGAATATTGAAAATCAAGTTCTTGCTATTCTTTTATGCATGTAAGCGATTTATGTTTCAACTGTTTTGTACGTGTCGAAAGCATCTTTTTAGCCCACGTGGGAAGAATAATAGAAATATGAGATTAGTTTTTTCAAGCTGACTGTTTTAATTACTCGTTAGGGAATATTGAAAATCAAGTTCTTGCTATTCTTTTATGCATGTAAGCGATTTATGTTTCAACTGTTTTGTACGTGTCGAAAGCATCTTTTTAGCCCACGTGGGAAGAATAATAGAAATATGAGATTAGTTTTTTCAAGCTGACTGTTTTAATTACTCGTTAGGGAATATTGAAAATCAAGTTCTTGCTATTCTTTTATGCATGTAAGCGATTTATGTTTCAACTGTTTGTACGTGTCGAAAGCATCTTTTTAGCCCACGTGGGAAGAATAATAAAAATATGAGATTAGTTTTTTCGAGCTGACTGTTTTAATTACTCGTTAGGGAATATTGAAAATCAAGTTCTTGCTATTCTTTTATGCATGTAAGCAATTTATGCTTCAACTGTTTTGTTACGTGTCGAAAGTATCTTTTTAGCCCACGTGGGAAGAATGATAAAAATATGAGATTAGTTTTTTCAAGTTGACTGTTTTAATTACTCGTTAGGGAATATTAAAAGTCAAGTATGATAAAAATATGGGATTAGTTTTTTCAAGCTGACTGTTTTAATCACTCGTTAGGGAATATTGAAAGTCAAGTTCTTGCTATTCTGTTATGCACGTAAGGAACTTCTGTTTCAACCGTTTTGTACGTGTCGAAAGCATCTTTTTAGCCCACGTGGGAAGAATGATGGGTTTTTAATCGTTTAAACTTCGACAGGGTTTATAGGAGATTGTTTGAAAATGTGTAATCTGGGATTTGTTTTTGTACGAGAGCTTAGACTGTTGTTAAGAGAGCTATGTAAATTTGAAGCACAGTTTCTTTTGCGGTTTTTAATCGTATTCGGATTTTTAGAGGTACACAATTATTTTACGATATGGATTCGTATCACAATTTTTCAGACATTCGATCACTATCGACTTTTCGACGTATTAGAATAGAAAAGCAGTTTCAAAAGCAATTTTTGTTACAAGAAACGCTGGTCACCTCGATTCTTTTTAATGTTGACACGTATTTTTGACTTGATAATATTTTAACTGGTCGTCGAAACGAATTCAGAATCTGAAACCCTGAAGCAATGCTAAAATAATTTAAGTCACGGAAAGGGAATTCCCAGAGCACTGTGACCTAGCAGGAACTATTTGATCATAGAAATCGAGCGTCTAACTATTTATACATTCCATGTGTAAAATGGTTTCATTATCGATAAAATGAAGTGAAATGATCGCATTCGCTGTAAAATGTTAATATAAATATTAACGTGCTTGTTATTTTTATAACGTATAGAATACGAAATGTTTATCTAACATCTCCGGACGTTGCAGACGTTTTTTTTAGCGATTTTTACCGATCGATGCTTTGTTATACTATTTAAATGTTGTCATAACTTTCGCACAACGGTAGACAGTGCGTTATGTTACACGTTGAATTTTTTTTGTAAATATCGTTGACTGTCTATCATGTTTGCCTAATATACACGCAATAATGTTACATTCTCGTTCTTAATAAACGCTCAAGTAGTTTTTTAATGGTTATATTTACGTTTTAATCATGCTCACAATTGTAATAATCTGATCGAATATTTTCTGGCAGGTGTTGTGTACATTGTGATTACAGTCGCACGAGCTCAAGATCTGCACTGTTACTAATGAGTCGAACTCTTTTTTTTTACATGTACATAGAAAAGTGTAATGAATTATAGAAGAGGATACATATACAGGGTGTCCCAGGTTTTTCCGGCCGAACAGTATATTCTAGCAGGGAAACAAAGAAACAAATGTCGTATGAACGTAGGCTCAAAAATGCTTCATTAAAAAGTTATAAGAAAAATGCGAGATAACAACAATCCGATTGTCGTTCGACGCAGGTGTATATAATATATAAATACATACATACAATGCTGTTTACCTACATACGTAGATAAATATTCCCAATCGGTCCGTTGTTATTTCATATTTTTCTTATAATTTCTAAATGAAGCACTTTTAAGGAACACCCTGTATATTCTGTATTTTTATTATTGCAAGTATTGCATGCCGTTGTATGATTTTGTGTAGAGTGACGTTACAAATAGGTTTTTCCATATTATTGCATACAGTTGCGAGAAACAACATCAACGAAACAATAGTTCTTGATAAAAAAAAAAGTTAGATTATCCCATAAATCGTTACGTTGTTCGAGGCACTGACGTTTGTATGTTTCGTTATAATTAAACGAAATGCACCGCATTCGCTGTATTAGTGGAAGCTAAGTTTATGCACGCTTAACCTTTTAGGCACGACGCGCCACTATAGTGGCTTCCGCGGATGTCATCTTTCAGAACGACACGCCACTATAGTGGCTTTCGCGGATATCATCTCTCTGGACGACGCGCCACTATTGTGGCTTGCTCTAGTAGCTCACTCGCTCATAGTTTGAATCAAATAATCGTCTTCACATGCATTGTTTCACACTTCTTTTGTCTTCACATCGATTTACAACAGACTACAGCGTGTCCCAAAAATGTCTCGCAATTCGGAAATAGCGGGTTTCTCGGATCATTTGAAGCAACTTCTTCCTTTACAAAAATTTTCTCCGAGGCACCGTTAACGAGTTATTAACGAAAAACAGTGACCAATAGGAATCGAGTACGGCTGACGCGAGGCGGCCCAGCCAACCAGCGCGCGAAGCCCAGTTCCGCTCATTGGCTCGATCGCCTCGCGCCAGCCGAGATTGCCTCTCATTGGTCACTGTTTTTCGTTAACAACTCGTTAACGGTGCCTCGGAGAAAATGTTTGTAAAGGAAAAAGTTGCTTCAAATGGTCTAAGGAACCCGCCACTTTCGGATTGCGAGACATTTTTGGGACACCCTGTATATACAGTATCAGACTCTGTACAGTACACATCAGACTCTGCCGTTCAGAGAAATAGCCTCGCGCAGAATTTAGCCGTACCTAAAAGGTTAAACGAAATTTTCTTTAACGAAGAACTTAGCTAATGGCTGTTTACTGATTTAGTTATGATCACATGTAACTATACTCGGTTCAACGTGAATTGGCAGGAAATAAGAAACAGCCGCACGCGATCGATGTAATTTTACCGTTCTACAATTCGTAAAAAAAAAAATATGGATAAAATGAGAATACATTGAACATGCTCAAGTTATCGAACACTTTTGGCAATTGGACTGCAATATTGATACATTCATTGAATCGTTTACAATTAATTAAAATTCTGACAGTTCGAACACAGAATCAGAATGAATTTTACATTTTATTTTTAACTTTTTTCCTCAGCGAAAATGCAATCCGTGGCTTTGTTTACGAGTTATTCGTGAAAAACAGTTACTTCAAATCATCTCGGGAATCATCGCTTTCCGGGTGTTAACGTAATTATAGGACACCCCGTACAGTTTCCCATACCTTAATTTGTACTTTTATTTGCCTCCTTATTTACATTGTTATAAAATAATACTTATAATACAGTAGAGACGCTGATATCCGAAAGATTCATTTTCGTAATAACCTAATACCAAAACGTTCTACGAGATGTAATTCGAGAAGGAGAGAGTACTAAAATTAATAAAATTTGGAATAATTTTATTTATTATCTCAGAATTATTTCTTTTTCTATCATTTTTTTGAACATTTATTCATTGTTCTATTGTCCCCAATATTGAAATTGAAAGAAACTGACCACCTAAAAATATTATTATATTCTCAATCCATATGATATTCCACTATTAAATTCTATTATTCTAATTTCATCAGGATTTACTATTACTTGAAGA